TATATTTTCTGTTGTCGCTTCTTCTGCTGCTGATTATGAATCTGTGGAGACCAGGTGGGCTCAGTCCCTTTGTGCTGCTCCCTCCACTGTCACAGCTGCTCAGTGTTTGTGGGTGCCCTTGTCTGGACGACCCTCCTCCAGGCAACACTTCTCTGCAGTCCATGGTAAAATAGTATTCGGAATGTCCGTTAGAATGATTAAATATACTATTTTTAGCAACATAAGGGCAATGGGAGTTATGGCTGCCAGATTATTCGCCATTGAAATGAAATTGCAATTTGACAGAGAATCAAATCATAAAGACAGTTTTTTATTAAAGTCCAACTTTAAAATTATAGATATTTTAAAGTAATTGCATGGAACATAAGGGATATTTCTTGCTAAAATAGCAAAAATATTTTGAAATGTATATGTATACATTTCATCAAGAGTATTTTTAAAACAATGAAATGTTTTTTAACATCATATTCATATCATCATAAGTTATTTTTAACATAAACTGTCAAAATACACAACCAAAGCACACAATGAGAATAGTCAATTCACCATCAACAAATTAGTTATTCAAACAATTAGAACGCAGTGAAATGCAATAATCATCTACAATATTGACCCGACATTACTCATGTGAATTGAGAGTTTGACCTGGGCTCAATATAAATGTAATACCAAAATTAAATAATTGTCTCCATAACTTTTCATCTTTGCAATTTTCACATACAATTTCTTATTTTTGAAAAATAAATAAATACTTAAAGCCCTAATGGTCAATAAGTTTGTAGTACTCACAGAAGTATACATTTCTCATATACAGTAATCTCCCAGCTTCATTGATCTGCATTTGGCCCCTGTTTACGTGCCATAGTCGGATCACACTGCTGAGACTTGCTGAGACCTGCTGAGACCTGCTGAGACCTGCTGAGACCTGCTGAGCTCTGAGTTTCAGTAATGGACCTGAAACCCAATATTCTGATCCTCCTGTTCGCAAGATACTCGTGATGTCAGAGAACATTACACTTTTAAAAGTGTTCATGTTTTTGATGGACTTTTAAATGCTTTTATGTCGCTAAACACATTGGGTTGCATATATTTGTTTGAAGGGTGCTATAGTAATAAGCGTGTTATTATTGTTTTTATTATTATTATTATTATTACTTATATCGGTGTATCTGCCCACTGCTGCTGTAATGGCCGGCATTCAACTCCTTTGCCTGGAGCGCTGTTTTTCCATTGGTTCCCATGACAACCAGGCCTCCTCCTCCAGCCTTCTGCTCGCTGTGGACCATCCATATAGCTGCTCTATCTTCATCGCTTTCTGTTTTTGTACATTTGTCGAAGCAAACTGGACTTTTTCACCTCCAACACCCACACTATAGCGAAACATTTTAACCGCAGCCGCCTTCAGAGCTCCAGAAATAATTTTAATTTGCGCACGTTTTGACCCATTTTTCAGTTTTATAGGATTGTTGCATGATTAGATGTTAAAGAGTATTAACATTAGCACTTCTAATTAATGTTGTTACAATGCTAATATTACAAACCAAATTACAATAATATGAAATAGTCTCGATATCTATATCTATACCACGGTCATCATTTCAAACAAATAACTTTTAGATGCAATTTTTTGTCAGCCTGCAATTTTTAAAATAAACACAATACAATACAACATTCTGAGATCAAAATCATTCAAAGTCTGCTCTCACATTTTGTCCTGAATGTTTGATTTTTTTTCCCATGCTAATTCTGAAACACATCGTTTTGATACTTTTGTTAGTATTGATTAATATCTGATATTCAATGCTTTTGACAACCCTACTTCTAATTCTCCAAATGCGATTCATCTTCTCTGCTGTCTGGGATAGGCGACCATTTACTCGCGCATGACCCGATTTCTGGTGAGAAGCAAGGGAGTACAATAAAGCGCAGGTTTAAAACAAGCCGAGGAGACAACTTTTGCACAGGGCCGATTTAGCATTGGCAGGCACCATGCATCACTGTCACCTTTTTAATGGCGGCTAAACAAACATGTACCGTAAAGCCAACAGCAGGGCTCTGAAGCAGTAGACCTTTACTCCACTTGTATATCCCTGGCTTTAGTTGGAGCTAAACCCATGCCACTTAACCTGCCTCCAGTCTAGGTTTTGGTATGCGCTGCTTTTATGCAGATTTCAATGGGAAGTATGTGCCTGTTGGTTTGGTTTTCTGTGTTTTCACGAGGATATGTGTAATGTGTTGGTGTTGCTATAGGTACCACATCCATCTTGCAACACTTTTCTTAGCTGTTCCCAAGGGTATCCATAAAACATCTACGTATGATACAGCTTTATAGTTTACATAACAGATAATTACCGTTCTTGATGTACAGTATCTTTTCGGTTTTTAGTCACTGGACTTTCTTGAAACCTGGGAACTGAACCTTCACACAATACACATAGATATAGGCATAACTAATCCAAACCAATAATATTTTTCTTGTGTTGTTTTCATATGACGTTAAGGATACAAAAAAAAAAATTTTCAATACAAATTTTTTATCATTTCATGCAGCAACATTTTTGCTTCTAGGAAAGATCAGTCGTCTTGAACTCTTGGTGTCAGCAGTGATGAAGTGGTCATTTGGACACTTATAATTTCTAGCTTTGACCCCAAGGCCATATCTGTACTGGTAATTTTGTCCCAGCCACTTCTTTTATGACTTCAGGCTCAACTCTCCCTGGATTTGGTTTCAAAATCCCTCTCCCCTTTCACTATCCACTGCTTCAAACTTGTGACGAGTGTATTTTCAAATTCCTCGCCTGTACTATAATCAATATGTTTGTTTAAATCTTTCGTTCTTTCTATAATGGCTATAGTTTTTATTTTATTTGTAATGGATCAGATTTCTGTCCAATATACACTCTAGATCTAAACCAGGGCTGCCCACACTTTATTAAACCAATATGTCATTTTATATAACCAGTGTGCCGTGATATACTTCATTTTTAAGAGGATGTAACGATTCTGATGATCACAAAATTATTTGATGTTTCTCATAATGTCATAACTTGTTGCTCATATAATCCGTAGGCGTTTTGTCAGATTCGTGCTCACCTCATTTACTATTGTCTCTTTATACATTTCCGCCTGCTCGGCATGACTTAGACCAAAGTTGACCAATAAGGGTCAACCAAACTGCTAATGTTCCTGGAGCTGTTTGTCCACATTGAACAATAGGATTTTGTCAGAAAAATAGCAAAACATATGTGACGATCATGTAGCAATACTTTAACACCATTGGATTCAGCATTTTAATACTTACATGTTGCCCCCTCTATAACATACTTCTTACAGGAATATAAGTGTTGCACATCTCAGCTTCCCACACTCCAGCCTTTTTACACGTGACCAATGGAGGGTTATGTGTAAACAGACAGATGCATGGCTGGTTTGGGGGTCCTGGTTTTAGGAGGGATTGTTGGGCTTGTTTGCACCTGTCTGGGGGCTCTACCTATGTGTGTGTGTGTGAGTGCGTATGTGTGTGTGTGTGTGTGCGCAGGCGGATGTGGGTGCTAAATATTGCATGCCCCTGTGCTCTGGTCTAACTTGTCAGAGCAGCTAACTGATGGTTCTATCCCAGAGCACTCTTCCTGCTGACTGATTAAGACTTCCACAGACTCATTCCCATTTCCCTGTTTCCCAGCTACAATCCACACACTTTTACATTGATGTGCACAGTGCGCTTCATACATAAACATGACCCTTGGATGCAGCAGAACAAGAAATGCATTTGTGCCAGCCTGACAAGACTGAACAATATTAAAACCTTTAATATTGAAATTTTTCCGTTTAGCATGAGTCTTTTCAACAAAATATTTTACTGCTGTATGTTTGCTCCATAGTATTCAAGTTTTAATTTAATTCAATTCACTTTATTCTTGTGTAGCCCTAAATCACAATAGTGATTTAGGGCTACACTAGTGTCCTCAGAGATAGTACTTTTAGATAAGATAAATGAATTCCTCTGCTTAAAGAAAAGAATGTCTTTTTCAAAAACTGTTTTGACATCAACCCTACACAAGCCCTTTAGGGGGTTGATGTTTATTGTAGTCTTTGCAATTTGGGAATTGTGGCCATTTAGCGATTTGATTAATTTGATGTGATTCAGATTGGAACCCACTGTGCTCAAGTGGAGGAACAATAAAAGCATTGCAAAATGTATCTGACGAAACAGAAGGCAAATTTTGAACTTTTAATTAAATCTGTGTATCTGTGACGGATGGAGGCCCAATGTAAGAAAAATTGCAACCTGACGGTGACACAAAGATGGACAAGCACTGAAATGAATCAGAGCAGTTAAAGAAATTGAGGGCACGGGCAGTGAAAGATGTGAGTGAGATAATGGAGAGAGGGAAAATACAGAGACTCAGGGGATTGTGGGTAAAAAAGTGTGTGAGAGCGACAGGCAGAGAGCCTGAGAAAGTGTGTGCTCAGCTGTGAGATGAAACCTCTGCTGCGGCCGTGGGGAACAGTGTGTGTGTGTGTGTGTGTGTTTCTGTGTGTGCGTTCATATGTGTGTGCGTGTTCAAGTGTGCATGTATCCGTGTGTGAGCACGAGTGCGATATTATTCCATTTACACCTGAAGTTGGAGAATTATTTTCTTTTCTCTTATTTTCTTTAGAATAGATGCCAAAGGATCAATTGTTTATTGAAGTTATTACCAAGCAAAATTTGTGATTGTGGAAACTAGAGTTGGATGGGAAACTGCTACACACAGACATGGGTCCTAATTATATACATATATTATATATATGTAATAATATATGTATATATGTTTGTCTTACAGTTGTAAGAGAAGAATTCAATTGAATTTAATTGAATTACAGTTTTAATGTATATTACAAAATTATATACTTTTTATATAGCATGTGTTTGGCTTTAATAAGAAAGAAATCTAGTATCACAATGATACTTCCCTATTGTTGTTGTGACTAAATCTTTGTCCTTGTTGTGACTGCAGGCAGTGGACTGATGGGCAACTCCTCCGCCTCCTTCATGGGGACCTTTCTGGCCAGTAGTTTGGGCTCTCCGCCGTCCCACCCACCACACCCGCCCCGGCCTCCATCCTCGCCCTCCTCACCCTCCTTCAGGGGCGGACCGCACTCCAGCGCCTCACAAATCTGGTTTCCCCATTCACACGAAGGTATCTCAAATCACACACAAACATGAGTCCGAAAATATCATACCCCTTGTATGACCTTTTGTTGTTGAACGATACTTTACCACGCAGTAGTTTTTGTGTGGAGGTCAGTAGTTCAAACAAGGAATCTCACTCTATTCCATGCCAGGGAATGTGAGCTGAGTGAACCAGTTTACAATAATTATATGTTATCAAGATCTATTGTTAATGTTTGTGCGTTCTCGCGAATAGCAAACACAAACAGTTTAAAATGTATAAGAATTAATATTGTGTTATAATAAATCTGATTTGCTTTTGATTATATTATTGATGTAAAAAAAACTTTAACAATAAAACTAGGGTTGTTGATATTTGGTTCCAAACAGCAAATATTTGAGGGGGAACAGGACACTTGTTGGTCTGGTTCACTTTAACTGGACCAGGTCTTGTTCATTTGGGGAAAAATACTTCACAGATCTGTTTCAAAAGATGTAAACTGACTTAAATGATGTTCACTTGTTTGGTGGTTTTACATCTACATCGAGAATAATTCCTTATTTGAAACTATGCTGAATGTCATAGAGTCAAGCATTAGGCAATAGGCGATTCAACAACTATTAACAACGCAGATACAAAAGCACAGACAAGACAGGGGAATTCATACATCAAACAAAGAATAAAAGAGAAAAAAAAATGAGAGGGGACATTGTAAGTGTGTGCACGTGTGTGAATGTGTGTCTGAGCATACAAGTGTGTGTTTATGGGGTGGGGGAGGTGTGCCTGCATGTGTTCAGTGTGGATCGACTTTGGATTCATAATACACTGGATATGCTGGAGAAAACTAAAAACAAAAAGTCAAAAGAGAGACTAGGGAAGGGAAGAAGTATCTCATGTTGGTCGTGTTGCGTTTTACTATGCTATACAAATGTTGGACTTGTTATTTTTCTCATTTTTGTGACCAGCCGTTTTTTCTTTTTACGCTGGAGCCCAGTAGGGAATTTGTATTATTTGTGGTCAGTGAACAGAGCTGCTCTAGTTGCTTGATGTGTTTGGCTAAAGTGCACCCATTACGGTGTGCTGTCAGGTTTGTTATACCACTACATGTCCCGCAGCCTCACCAAACGCCTTTTCTTATACTGTTGTCTGTGCGGCTGCTACAATGATTTAAGAATCTATTCTACAGACAGCGGGAGTAGGCCTGTCTTTGATAACAACCCAAACGCATTGTGTCCCTTACTCTATGGTTTTAAGGTGTCATTGTCAAGGTTTTCCTCTTGTTGCAAAGTAGAATAATATTAATAAGAGTGATGATGATAAAGCCAAGCATAATAAAAGTAATGGAGGCGATTATGACTGGGATTATTACTTGCTTGGCAATGGAGGCCATTATCTCTATTGCAGTTTAATTGCATATAACACACTAAGAGCATGATTGAATCCAGACTGTTCATCAGCCACATTCAGCTGTTCCCTGCTCAAGATAATTGCATATTGTCTTTTTCCTGTTTTGCATAAAAAGCAAGTCATCAGAATGAGAAGCACAATTACGCAGCCTCTCGCCTCCTCTCTCTGGGTGTCAGCAGAACCCCACCAGCACTGGCTTCTCAGCTCAAATGCTCCTTCTCTACGAGTGATTGTAAAGTGGCATGCTTATATGCAAGTGCAAGATGGATTTTTTATTTAAAATTTTTCATTAAATCTTGTATGCCGGGTACTTACCTGCCTAAACTAACATTGTATTTGTATGAGAAACCATGCCAGTAATCAAAAGGGCTAATTAAAGACGGGATTATAACTAGAACACTTTGCAGTAACCACTTGTCACTAAGACAATGCAGGTTTTGAGTGCAAGAAAAAACAATGACAGATGTAGACTATTTTAATGAATTCAAACGTGTTGTTCCAAGCACTTGGATTTAACCCAGGACTAAATAAAAAAGATAATCTATCAAAGAAATTCACAATGAAAATGTGATGAACAAACTGCAGCTTGCATCTCGTTCATAGCGACCAGCTGGCATAAGTTCAAATCGACTTCTTTCTTTACTCTTAGACCAATCTTAACTTCATATCTGTGTCCAAACACTCACACACATTGCTTGTGTACACCTGTCTGATCCACTTCTGTTTGATAGGCCTTTCCAAGCCTATCTTCAGTTGTCCATCTTCTCTTGTGTGAGCTGTTGCCGAATTTTCCTTTGGTGGGATTTAAGCAGCCCCTCCTCAATCTCACACATACACGTATACACACGCCTTATTCTCATGCCAGTCTGCATCTTGTCCTTTCAATTATTTAAACCTGTAGAGATCCAGCACCGCGGCTACACACAGCCCCTCCTCCAGCTAAAGGACCATCTCCCGTTCTTATCCCAGGCTGTGTTTCGTTGCGACTGTCAGTTTTTCTCAATTAGTAAACCTGACGGCCAGCTTACTCTGCTCCTCCTCTCCTTTCGTTCTGCTTTAATGCTATTTATCTGTGTCTTTATTCAGTAAAATAGTTCATATGCTATTGTTTCAGCATTATATTCTATTATATATAATGTGATTGTTAATGCAAGTCCCTCTGAAATATTGAGATGTTTTTCTTTTACTGTATTTTATGAATAGAAAATGAATGGAGAAGTCCATGTGCTAAAGTGTCATTCATTTGCTGATTCTGCCTCTTGCATGTTGAGCTGGCATAAAGCGCAGATGGGCAGCTGTGCAGTCAGCAGTGTAAGCTAAGACCCTGCTTGCATCGCCTGCAGCGGCAAAGACAGCCGCAGAAGCAGCAGCTCCCCTTGTCCCGCCAGATTAATGGCTGAATGGGCTCTGCCGTACCCAGCAGTCCCCCTCTCGCCTCCCCATTGGAAAGCACGCTGAAACTGAGCGGGCTGGCATTATCGGGCACAGCCAGACCGCACTGTAAAAAAGGATTATTCCATCAATCGTCATGCTCACAAACAACATGCTGCTGCAGAAAAAGCTTTTCTTGCGGCTTGGATAAAGACTGGAAAGCCACGCTTTGCTTTCCTGCCTTCAAAAATCACAGAAACTATCTAGTGTTAACAATAGACACCCCTCCTTCGCAGATGAATTGACATAAATATAGACTCATCATTGCAGCAAGACAGGAAGGTTGAGGGGTACTTGCAAAGGTGCAAGAAATAAAAAGGGTATGTAATTATCACCCACTGTGCAGAAAGCAGCAGTCCTGCTCTGTGCTATTGTGGAGCTGTTTGGCCCCTCTGTGAATTTCATTAATTAAGACTGGAGGCAGCTCATACAGGAGGTCATTAGGCCCACTGCAACACTCCGCCCTCTCCTGAGCCCCAGCACTATTGTTCCAACAGCCAAAAGTGAGACATTCAACACTTGTAAAAACATGTTAGGTTCACATACAACACGAGGCACCAAAATCCACTGCATCTGCACTTTTGAGGACTGAGAATTACCAAGAAAAATATGCATAAAATAATTTATTTTGTGAAGTGTGCAAGTTGTCTTTGATTGAGAGGGCATAAAGGAAGTGAGTAAGTAAGTAATCTTTATTAATACAACACATTTTTAAGAGTCTTGCCCAGGGACACAACGACAGCAGTCATCAGTGGGCGTCGTGAAGTAGCTCTCGTGGTGGGCTCGAACCCACGACCTTCAGGCTCTAAGGCCAATGCTCTTGCAACTGAGCCACTGTTGCCCCATTACAATACAAGCAATACAATAATTATGAAGTGCTCGCTTGGCTTCGCACCTGCTGTATCTGTGGAGAAACTTCCAAATTTAAAACTAAATGCATTTTTGATTAGAGAATACATTTCATATAGTTACAGGTCTGTTGTGTCATAAAGCTGGGGTATCTTTGTTGTTTTTCTCCATAAATTGCACTTTTTATTTGTCCCAACAGAAATAATCTTGTAAAAGTAAAACATGGTTAACAAATCGGACCCACATCATTCTGTCTTCATCTTATTAGAAAACATTTTATATTTTGAATTCTTATCGTATTTGTAGGTTATTATGTCTGAAAATGTGTGACAGAGGCCAAAAAATACATACATGTGAAAACTAGTGATAGCACCAAACTGTTTTGAGAATGAGGAACTAGTTACATAGATTATTATTATATAGTTCTGTAATTTTGTGGTTTGAAAATTAGGTTCCCCAGCTTTGATATGTGTTGCCGTCCTTGCTTATTTGTATATACTTTTCACTAACTCTTCTAAATCTCCTTCCATCATGTGTTTAATGGCATTCAAAATGTATAATAACTATGGCACTGTACTTACTAACACTCACGACCTTTAGCTATATTTGCAATAACTCACTTTGAATTCTTTCACATTAATTTTATTTTAAGCCGTATGAAATTTGAGCTCAAACATACGTGCTTGAATTCCCAACGTTCACTTGACATTTCATCCTAGTTGTTGGTCTGTAAAGGTCGCCAACTCCTCCTACTTTATCTCTGTAAACACAAACCTCAAATCCATCTTTATTACTTCAATCATGTCGATGTGCCAGACATTGCGAGCTGTGGTGAGACGAGGCAAGGGCCCATATGTTTCTAAGACATAACCACAATCCTATCCCCAAGACTCGGCTTGTCGTTTATTGTTTGCGTTCCAAACTCGGATCGGAAAGGCAAACATCACTGGCAGAACTGGTCCTTATTTGCGTATGAACACCACCAGCTGCATAAGACCTGGGGGATTAAGTGGGTTAGTTGGGATAACTGGTTCTCAATGCTTATTGTCTCATCTTATCAATTCCTTGTCTCTGCCCCCCCCCCCCCCCCCTCTCTCTCTCTCTGTGTGCGCAGCAGCTCCAGGGTATCCACGGTTCTCAGGAAGTCTGGCTCACACGTTCCTCCCAATGAGCCACTTAGATCACCATGCCAACAGTGGAGTCCTCTACGGGCAGCACCGCTTTTACGACACCCAAAAAGGTGAGGCGCTACCTGATCTGAATGTAATCAGACACAATAACACATTGAAATCTAATTCAAACAAAATTATATCATGTGATTTGATTTGAACATTTGGTATGAAGATGCCTCAAGTCTTGAAAGCTGGATAATGTAACCGCTTTATCTCTTTTTCTTTTTTGTCTAATGCATTTGTCTTTTATTTCAGAGAACTTCTACCTCCGAGGTCTCCCATCCCAGCCTCCTCTCATCTCAGCCAATCATACCCTAACGCCAATGTCCAGGGCGGTTTCAGGTCACGCACAGGGGTCCTGCAGTCGAGACCGTGACTCCGGGGCAGGGCAGGGTCTTCAGAAGGGACTTAAGGAGGGAACAGCCGAAAGAGGAGTCGTACCTGGCAAAGACAAAGAGCGGTCCAGTAGCAAACACGATACAAAGGAGAGACAACAGCAGCAACAGCAGCAGCAGCATCACAGTCACCATCTGGCTCTGCCCACACACCACCACCACCATTCCCACCCACATCAGCAGCACCCACAGTATCAACAGCACCCACTGCCCCTGGAAGAGGTCAACAGTCGGCCTTTGGAAAGACATAAATCCTCACTACCCATGGAGCACCCACAAAGCATGGGAAAAACTCTCAGTGCCTGTTTGCACAATGGCAAAATGCAAAATGGAGATACAGTTAGTACGATGGGCAGGAGCTGTGGTGGGGAAAGCATCGGGGTGATGGGAGGTGGTCGGCATATGGGGCAAAGTGGTGGAAGTCGCTGCACCAAAGAAGGAGTCAGTGGAGGTATGAGAATCAGTGAACAACCGTCAGACTGTTTAGAAAGAGGACAGGCCCCGCTGCACCACACGCTGCCCTATTCTGTGCCCCCTCCTCTGCACATGGGGACCACCACAGGAGCTGCACACCCACACTCACATCCACATGCACACTCACACACACACCCAGGGGGCTTCCACTGCCTCCAGCTTCACCCAAGTCATCCACACCACCCGCATCATTCCCATCACCATACAGACTTCTTCTGCCCGCCCCCTCCAGCCCCTCTCTCTAACCCTGCTGCCCTCGATAGGGGACCAGCAAATGTAGGGAGACAACCAAAAGTCTCAGGACCTACGTTTGTACCATCCGTCACAGACGGTAGTGAAAAATCAAGTGGGCCTTTTCAGCTTGGTAACCCTGACTACCAGGCAGTGGGCAGTGGAGGAGTTGGAGGAGGAGGCAATGCCAAGGACAAGGTTTTAGAAAAGAATGGAGGTGGGCACCATAGTAACTGGCAACGAAAGCAGCAACAGCAGCATCAACAACAAAATCCATACAGGAAAGCCGACAAGGCTCCAGATTGGCTACAGCCCCAGCATCATATCCAGTCCACACAAATGCCCCACCCCACCCAGCAGCCTGTTCCCCCACACCCTCAGCAGCACCAGGTGGTCCGCTCCCGTAGTGCAGAGTGCGTCAACTCTGGCGTAGACATGGATGTGTTCAGATCCCCAGACCCAAAAACTGGACATGCTATGTCCCATTCTGTTAACACATCACCATATAGAGACTGCTCCCACCAGGGACCCCCACCCAATGCTTCACCACTGGGCAATAAAAGTATGAGCCAACACAATGGTTCCGTGCACAGCTCTGCTGTTGCACCAGGAGGGGGCAGTTGTTCTCTACAGAGGGATGGCCAGAAGGTTGCTCGTATTCGCCACCAACAGCATGGGCGTAGTGGGCAAGAAACTCCATCTCCAGCTGAACTAAATCAAGTGACAAATCAAGAAATAAAAAGAAAAATGGATATCTCTCCATATAGTTATCCCAACCCTAGTGGGCAGCATCAGCAGCCTCCAGTGTCTCCCTGGACCATGAGGCCTTCTCATCACATGCCCAAACCAGAGGAGGAGCAGAGGAAGACCTACATGGAGTTAGGAAATGTCGTCAGGCCGCACACTCAGCAGCAGCAGTCAGGCATGAACCTGCCTCCTTCACAGCCTCCCTCTGCTCCACCTTTGAGCACACAGCAGCAGCCTGAACCTCAAGCCCAATCCCAGGGGGATAACAGCGCCACTAAAGCTTTACTCAAGTACAGCTCCCAGCAGACTATGCTCCCCTCTCAGAAGACCCCCTTTGGAGGTTTGGGAAATCTCAAGTCTGCTGGCATTACCTGTGCCCTGCAGGGGAACAAACACACACTGCCACCAAGGAAGGGCCCAGTCAGTGACGGAGAGCGTTCCGACTACAGTGGCCGCAGCAGGGACCAGGGGGAGCCAGGCCACACAGAGACAGAGGTGCGTCAGCCTCCGGTGGGGATTGCAGTGGCTGTGGCCAGACAAAGAGACCCTCCATGTCGCTCAGGAGACAGCCACCCCAACAGTCGCCAAGGCAGAGTGCACCCCTCTGTCAAAGGTGAGCTTCTCTAATATGATCTTTGCTTTGTGCAATCATAATCACACATGATGCAATGAAACATTTTTAGTGTGGTGAAGGTATTGGCACAAATCAGCTGGAAATATATTAGTGACGTGAATGTTTGTCTCACAGGAGTCACTCGCTCCATGTATTCATCAGATCCCTCTGCAGATGAGGAGAGAAAAAGGATAAATGGGGACCTCACTTGCTTGGACAGAGACAGAGATCAATACATCAGGTATTTTGAATAAATCTTTATAAAAAGCAAAACATTATTGATGCTATCTGAAATTGATACATTAATGTTTATATGCATCTGCCTCCAGGGAAAATAAAGAAAGGGTGGAGTTTTCAAGGATGCATCCCCCCAACAGCTGTCATGGAGACCTAAGCTCTCATCTGATGGTCCCGGGTGGAACGTCCCTTCAGTCTGGCCAATTAGGAGATCCTGCTGCACATTCTGCTCATCACTGGATGCCAAGAACAGGAAGCCCATCACTATGGATGACAGGACACTCTTATGGTAAATAATTCTATGTTGATTATTATTATATTTTTTATGTTGAGTTGATAATATCACAATCTGTTGCTGCAGTGCGTTCTCAAATATGATTTTACTGTTGTAAAGCAGGTATTGGTCATGGCGCGCTGCATCAGAATCTTCCTCCAGGATTCTCTGCTGCGATGTCAGGGCCTCTGCAGCCTGTCTTGCCTCTGCCCCAGGACCCCTCACAGCTAGTGGTCCTTCCCACTGAGCCAGCTGCTCACCCAGCGACACATCCCTTAGGTTTGTCATCATAATAAGCTTATTTTAATAGCTGCATGGTATTACTGTCAAAAACATTACTGGAGCTGAAAGCCTTTGCTTTCAGCCTTTACTTTTAGTCAATAAATTGGTCAATAGTGTCTTTCTCAACTAAATTATGTGGATTATAAGAAATTATTAGAATTTGAATATCAGCCATAGCAGAAATACACATACAATATGGAGAGAGCAATCTGAAATCATGGGTGTGATTTTTGCTCTCTGTAGAGCAAAATGTATGTCTGGAGTTGACCATTTTTTATTTTTTTTTAAGTGAATGGAGCTTTCTCAGAGCAAAGGTCACCCTGCATTAAGACAGCTACTCCAGTTTAGCAGTCATCTGCATGTAATTATTGTCATATTTTCCATTCCATAATCTCTAATGTTTTGGGCTTTTGGCATCGGGGGAAATATGGTTTTCTGTTATCCAAGTTTATTACTGTGTAGATTCATCTACTTCCGTGCAGTAAAATACAATATTAATGGGTGTGTGGGACGTGTGCAATGGGAGATTACAAGCTGGAAAACCTGCCCATAATATTCCAAGTGCAGTTATTTCTCAAACTTACTCTGTTCTCGCTCTCATTAGATGTGATGGAGCAGCCCGGACTATGGCCCCCTGTGTATGGCACCCGGGGCCCACCCTCCCACATGCAACATCCCGCTGTGTACTCTCGCTCTCAGTTTCTACGGCAACAGGAGCTGTATTCTCTCCAGCATCCTCAGCTTCAGCACCCACATCAGCACCAGAGCCACCAGACACAACAGGCTCAAGGCCACGCACAAGGACAGACTCAGCAGAGGCCACTTAATATGGACATGCAGCACCAGTCCCCTCACAACGCACAGGTGAACATGAAAAATATGAATTGATTATACAACTCATATCAAATATAAATAGATTTGATGTATAATATCACTCATTGTTCTCATATGTATTACTTGTTAAAGTTTCAGAAAAGGCCACACTCTGAACTGGAGGAACTCATCTCTGAGCCAAGGACGTCAAAGCCAGCCAAGCCGTATGCATACAATCCTCCAAGACGGAACACCCCGACCCCTGGAGCGTGTCCTCCGCCCATGTCCCCCTGTTGTCAGTCGCCTTCAGTGAGGCCACATCCCAAAAGCACCCCCTCCACGCCCTGTCCAACTCCCAGCCCAGCTGCAGCAGCTCTGCAGTCTCCTGCCATCAGCCCCTTACCCCCGTCCATGTCAAAGAGGGCAGACAACCAGGAGAAGAGTGGCGAGATAGAGCTACCACAGGAGTACCCAGAATCTCTCGAGCCGGGTAGGCTGACTGTGCTTTTATCCGCTTCTGTGATTTGAATTTTTCCCTCACTATAAATAGCTAAAATGTGGAAATAAGAAGTTGTGTTAATTTGTTTTGCTTAAACTTACTATTATCTATATTAGTTAAGTGTATCTATATTAGTTACTTTGTCCAATCCATTGTAGTGCTTTTTGGTCAGTGCAGTGCCGATACCCTTAAATATCCAGTTCGATTAAAGGTAATATTTGTTTTTTTCTCTCTCTCTCTCTTAGACTTGCCTCCTGGCTATGTGTACCCTGGCATTGCCATTGGCTACAGAAATGTGCCATCATCTGAAGATGTGCAGCTGGCTGAGCCTGCAGACCTGGCCACAGTCCAAGTGGAGCCAGTAAACCGTGCTCCCCAGTCTCTCACCAGTTTAGGAGAGGGACTGGAGTGTCAAGCTGTGGTTAGACCTCTCCAGGAGGCTCTTACACCTCAAAAGCCTGTGCAGGAAGTAGATGAAGACATAGCAGAGGTCTTGGAGGAGAAAAAGAAAGTAGCAGAGGTAACAGCCCATTATGTTCCTGTCGAGAAGGAGTTAGCAGAGCAGGGGCCCAGTGAAGATGAGGTGCTTGTTTGCCCCCCTGCTACAACCCCGGTGTGCGAGGTTGCCTCCTGTTCAATCCCTTTATTCACAGAGGACACTGAAAGGCCACAAGCTGTCATCACCCTGGATGAAGAGGAGGGGGATGAGCCAGTGGAGGATAGCCAGGTGGAGCTGGCACAAAAGGTCAACATGCCTGAAGAGCAGCACATTGGGCTGGCCTCCACAAGCGAGCCTGGCCCCTTCTCTGCTGCACTGCAGCATCCAGAGGCCCTCACTGCTAATAATGCTGAGGACAAAGGGCCTGGGATGGAGATTGGAGCAACTCCTGATGCTTCAGAGGGTGTACTGTCTCCAGTGCCTGCCCTGAGCCCTCAGAGTAATCACATCGAAGTCTTTCCTCACAAACCATTGGTGCCGTGTTATTGGAGTCTGGAGCTGCTCATAGCTGCAGCCTTCTGCACAGATGTGCCTCCATTCCCCCTGTTCCCCTTCATCGCCCCAGCAGTTGCACCATCAGAGCCAAAGGCCCACGCCGGCATGGAGCTCCTGAGTGAGTTAGCTGATCTGGAGCTACAGCAGCAAAGACAAGTCTGTGGTAAAAGCCAGGGTGAGGAGCACCCCTCTTTCATGCACATACAAAACATACACACACACACGACACTGACATAGTTTAGCTCGTCTTTACTCAGTCCAGTGAGACCAGCTCCCCTCAGGCCAAGCGGCTGTCATACAACATGCTCAAACAGTGCTCTCTGTGCTGGTCCACATGCCTCAGGTGGACTCAACATGTCTCTAGAGAACAGGCCTTTCCTTTAGTTGTCCTTCTTGTGTTAAAGGAACTTTTATTTTCTAAAACCTCCTTTACTGAAGCACAGGCCTCTGGAGAGGAACATGAAGTGAGCGGACAAAGCTGCAGCGAGTGTGGAACTCCCTTTTGAATCCTTCTTTCTTCCTCACAGCCTTCCTCTGGGAGTTATCTCTCCATCCTGTCACTGTTTGAGCCACTCCTCAGCAAAACTACAACTTTTTTAACACACAAAATAAGACATACATATTCCTTTAAATAATAAAAATACACTGATTGGCTTCAGAATATATAGATAACAATAATAATACAAGTTTTGCTTACAGTTTACGTACAAAAGGCATCTGTGTTGTTTGTACCCGTGTGCATTGCTATGATAATTAGATGCCTGCCATTGTTTTAAAGTGCCTTTAAAAGCTTCCTTGTTTTTCAAAGCATTGTTTATTTTTTTATTCACGCAAAGGATGTGTTTACCACAACCTCCTAATAATGCATTTAACCGCTCCCTAAAGAGGCCTCTATAAAAAGAGAATCATCAACACTTTTCAGGAGATGTTGTCTTCACAAAGCGATCCTGTTGACAGCCACATTGTTGCAAACAAGCTATAGAACAAGTACAGATCAAGGTTTTTTATGAACTGAGGTATATATCTGAGATACTATTCATTTAGTTTAACATTATACATTTGCACATTTCATTTTATGCTATTAAACGATACAAATACGTTATTGTTGTTCATAGATTTAAAATAGATTGTCTTCTTACAGAAGAAGAGTTGCTGATGTTTGACCTCAGGAGCCTGGCGACGCTGGCCACAGCGCGAGCTCTGGAGATGGGTCATTCAGAATCAAGCAACCTTACTTCAGAGAGACATCTTCCTGCTCGAAAAAATGTTAATCTACGGAGGAAATGCAACTGGACCCCTCGTAATGAACCAGTAGGTCTATAAGTAAAGTCCTCTTAGGGGGGTCCCAGTTAGGGAACCTCGAGTCTGGGGTAGACGTTCAGTTTAAAAAAAACACTAATACTGTGTTTCACAGGTTTGCCCTGCCAAAGGTAGTGTTGAAACAATCGATGGTCCTGAGCTCTCGATGCGTGTGAAGTTGGCAGAGCTACAGCGGCACTACAAAGAGAAGCAGAGGGAACTGGCCAAGCTTCAGAGGAAGCATGATCATCAGTGAGTGCAAATATACTCTTGTGGGCTGAAATGTCACACCCTGATAATAGTATTCAGCTGCTTTGTTAGTACAATGATTTATGCCTAAAAGTGTGTATTCTTCTGTGCACCTTTTGTTTGCATGAAATAGGAAAGAGGAAACCCCTCGCAGCCCAGCAAGGCGTGGCCCAGGTCGACCGAGGAAGAGGAAGCCCACCTTGAGTTCAGTGTCCTCAAATGATGGCCACAGAAAAGTCAAGTGAGGACCCCCAACATAATCTCTTCCACCTCTGTGTAGATTACTAATACAGGCATTGATGTTTGTGAACTTTGGTTTGTGAAGATAGGAATAAGCTCAAATGTTTGAATGGGTGTAATTTTAATTTATTGGTCTGCCATATGAAACATTTCAGCTTCGGTTTAGATGAAGAAAACTCTCTGATATCAAACACTTGTTTAGGTGACACTGCAGATGTCAGCAGACAGGACAGGCGCAAATCACGGGGGCATATATTTTGAGTACTGTGAATACTCATGTAATCTGTGCCCCATACACCATCTCAGGCATGTAGGGTCTCCCGAGGTCTACCGGATTATATTACTGTCAGTGTGCAAGCACTTACTGATAAGATGAGATTTAGTTCTGTCATCTAACACGTGAGCCCTTTAACAATCAGCAGATTTGAGAAAAGTGTAATTAACAGTATAAAAAACCACGGCACAACGTGGTGGCAGACGTTGTTGTCCACACAGATCTGCTTCTATGGGATGCACAGGTGCTTAGGGGATAAACGTTTTCTGTCAGGGTTCAATTAGTAATGTCATCAGGGTTTTCTGGAGATTAGTTTGCAAAATGTCACGTCATAGTGATGTGTACCTCGACTATTCCCCTGGTGCCTTCTGGGCATCAGTCCATAGAGTGTCAGCTGTTATATCACCTCCACCCTCTAAACCCTGGAAGCTGCCTGCCTTCTCCTCAGACAGGCTCCAAAGACCAAGAAGCAGCTCACAAATAATACTAACATATTACTCAATGGACTTTGTTTATCTGTGAGATCACACACAGGGTCTTTGTCATGTGGTGGCTTCACTGAACCTGTTGAGTATGTCTTGATGTTTGCAGAGAAGGCGAGGACAGGCAGTGTGGGGACTGATTAGCCCCATGTTGAGTTACATGCCAGGGTTATGTAAAAGCTTGGAGTGCCACATCCACTCACGTCTATAACTGGAGTTTTGATGGAGGGCAGTAGGTTACAGTACTGCCTATAAATGTTACCTCCACACCTCCACGTCTCAATAGAAGATAGTATTCATTTTAAGGCTGTGCATGCTTTTGCATCTGCTCTATTAAGTATGCATGTATCTGTTCTCCTATGAGACAGTAGTCTGTTATTGGTCCGTGTACGTCGCGGCCATTCTATTTTTGATTAGGAAAGAAAATACAAAAAACGAATATTGGCCGTTTCCCGTTTTCCGTTTTCAAAATAAAATGTAGAAAACGAGAATTTAATCCGTTTTTCGATTTTGTGTTTTAAAATTAAAAAACGGATAACGAAAAACAGGTCATAATCCGTTTTTCCATTACACATTTACACAAGAAACACCAACATCGAAAAACCACGGCAAAAATTTGATTTTCCATTCTTGATCTTATTTTGAAGCTGACCCGGAAGCTGTTGAGGCTTTCCCGCACAGTCAGAGTTTTCCAGTTTTTTGAATGATAATGGAGATACCAGAGTTGGAGAAAACTTTTGTTTTGTATCGAGACAGCAAACGGGTTACTTTAAAAGATGTCGACATGACAGTGGATAAGATTGGCACCATTTTCCAGGTAAGTTTATAAATTTAAATAGCAAAACCTACTGTGTTTATGCTAGTGAACGGTTAGCCATCTAAAAAGGCTAATGGTGTCCGCTGATATACATTAATATTATTCTATATCTTGTAATCTTTAATTGGCATAGTGGTAGGCATGGTTAACAGATTCCGGGTCAGCTTCAAAATAAGATCAAGAATGGAAAATCAAATTTTTGCCGTGGTTTTTCGATGTTGGTGTTTCTTGTGTAAATGTGTAATGGAAAAACGGATTATGACCTGTTTTTCGTTATCCGTTTTTTAATTTTAAAACACAAAATCGAAAAACGGATTAAATTCTCGTTTTCTACATTTTATTTTGAAAACGGAAAACGGGAAACGGCCAATATTCGTTTTTTGTATTTTCTTTCCTAATCAAAAATAGAATGGCCGCGACGTACACGAACCGTTATTGTTTGTTTTTGAGCGTGTTTGAAGTCCTATGGGTAGAGCAGTGGGGTCTTTGATTGTGGGGAGTGGTGAAAGAGAACTGTGTACTCCAGCAAACACACTAATCAATTCTGTTTAATTAGTCACTGCATGTGCAACCTTACTACCCCCCAACTGAGGGAGGGACTCTGTCACAATGTGTTTGTCAGCAAGAAGACAAAAGCTGCAGAGGGCTGTGCCTCGCAGGGACAGCTCACACTCCACTGCCACCTCTGTCACTCATGTCAGTGTGCAGACTGTCCCAAGGCCAACCATTGTCTTTCTTTTCATGTTTATCAATGTCTGAATGAGAAAGACACTGTTAGAAGGACTAGATCATATTTTCACTGTTGCTCTGTAAAATCATACGCGATCATGACCTTTTTATATTTATTTGTTTACTGCACGTTTGCGGATGGGTGAATGTGACTGGTTTCCTGGGCTGTATGCTCATTGGAAGAGGTGAAGTTAATCTTTTGTTTGAGCATGGCCTGGCTCACGCTGTAGCCTATGGGCAAACTTCCAGGGTAAATTCAAGGGCATTTGGAGAGGTTTGACTGTGAAGTTGCTCAGCGTAGGGGAAAGAGTGTGTGGCTGTGATATGAAAATGCAGAGTTGTGATCTTCACAGAGAACAATAGAGCTGCATTTAAATGCAATAACCCTGCACAGCAGGTTGAAGCTGGTGCTTTTTGCAGATTTTAAAGGCCCTTTCTCATAGTACTGTAACTGACGATTATTTTGATAATTGATAAATCTAGTGATTATTCTTTAAATGATTAGAACATGTATACCATAGTGTATCTGTTTGACCCAGAGAAATCGGAATGAAATTACGTAGAAACAAGATTCTCATAATACATTTAACCCATCATTGAGCATCGAACATGTGATTCCAAACTGATAACTTATTTTTGATATGCAGGTCCGTGGGGGCGGGGCTTGCCTTGTCACCTGACCACTCTGCTGTAGACTCCTTGAAGAGGAAGAAGAGGCTGTCCAGTCGAAGTTTGGAATTAAGCAGCACACAGGTTGGGGTCCGAGTCTTGATCATATTTGATACACACGTGTGGTGCAGACAGTAGTAGTAGTCGTTAATGTATGTTGTACTATGTAGTTTTTATTTTCCCTTTGTGTTCGTGGGAAGAAGGAAACCTCAGAGGCTTTGTGCTTGTGCAGCTGCTGTGACCTGGATTGTTGCTGCCGCTCCTTGACTTTCTCATGTCCCTCTTCTTCAGCAGATAAAAGCACAGAGCTGCAAGAGGAGCACTCTCCACGGTGTGCTCAGCTCTAAGTTGTCTGCTGATGTGGCTCAGCTCAAACATAAGGCCCAGCATAAAAAGAGTGTCTCAGGGGTGGGCTCCAGGGACACAGAGGCCTCGCCTTGTAATTCCAACCCCAAACATGGACACCGAGGTCAGGGCACGAACAAAGCTGAATCCAGGAGAGAGTCAGGCGGGCAAAGTGACACAGGTACAATACACTATTGATTCTGCCTGCTTTTTATCAATGCTGCATTGTGTCGCCTTCTATCCTTTTAAATCTACTCCTATTTAATTTAATTCATGTATCTTGTTGAGCAGCCAGTGGAGACAGTGGCCCACATGAAAGTTGGTCTGGACAAAAGAACAGGTCGAGGCCAAAGAAGCAAGGTTCATCTCAATCTGGAGAAAAAACATTGCATGATAGAGAGAGCTCTCCACCAGAAACCGACTCCTCGGATCAAGGTAACTGCAATTGTTAAATATTCTAATCAAAGTGCAATGTAGTTGTATCCTCTGTTTAGTGTACACTTTAGTGGTCTCTGCCCATTACATGAAAAGGTAATTGTGATTCATTGGTTTTCTTATAAATCTGATATAGTGATATGATTTCTTTCATGCTTGAGAGTTGGAGAGTGGAGAATGACGCAGCTCCACTCACTTCTCTGGCTTGCATGTAGCACACTATAATGAAGAAAGTAGAGAAGAGAAACAGCTTACCATACATCACTTAGTCTATGAGCTGTTTCGCTATTAACTTGAGCAATAATGAGGTGCCTGCAACATAAATGGGCTGTGGGTTTGTAATAAACCGCAGGGCTGATTAGCTGTACAGTTGAATTCAGCCGACATGAAAGCCTTTGTTTGTTACCTCTGCTAGACATGGAAGATGACGACGGGAGTGACAGTGACAGAGGTCAAGACCAAAGGACCAAGCCTAAGCCCAGCGAGGTCCAATCGGGGTCTTCTGCAAAAGGTCCAAGTCCCTCGTCTGTTGTAAAACTGGAAGCTAATCAGAAAGCCAGGAACAAAAAGCAGAGACAAGAGCTTTACGGTAAGACACTCCTTTGAAAATTGATTTGCAAGTCAACATAACTGGAGACATCTGGATTATATTTCTCATCCCGGGCTTGCGAGTTTGACCTGACATGTCTAATTGAACTGTGCAGGCTCCCACAGTCTGTCTGGTGTGGAGGGTGAGGTCAAAGTTAAAAAGAAGCCACCGTCAAACGTGTGTAAGAAACGGCACAGCGATTACCGACCGGGCTCCAAGTCGAAGGAGCAGCGCTGGGGTCTGAGCACAAGAGGCAGCCGCTACAGGAGGACCATAGGACTGGCTACTTTCACTACGACCACAGAACGGCTCAAGAGGGCAACCCGCAAAAACACCATCTTGAGAGGAACGATAAATAAGGTAAAGTGACGTCAGGTAGACAGGAAGTTGTGTGTCCGTATTTATCCACTTCGCTTCACATTCATTCACAGCGCTACGCAACACATTATCAAGTTCTTTTGATGAGAATATGGCATTTGTTAGAATTTATAAATAGAGGGACACTTTTGTCTTCAGCTGTCACTAATTTTCTCTCCACTCAAGTAGTTGTCAAGTTCCTGAATTGAATTACGCTAAAGGTTTTCCACAATATTGTAATGTTTTGAGAGATTTGTGAAATCTTAGGGTGAAGTCAGAAATGTAATTACTTCCCGGTCACCGTTTCCAGACAGTGTTCAGCGTGGTGCTTATGCGAGTGCAAGTAAATGTGATCGCCTTCTATTCTTCCTCTCTGTCAGCATTGTTGTGCATTTCAGTGTGTAAAAATCAGGAAATGGAAACGTGACAATAAAATATAAAAGGTTCATTCAGTCATGGAATAGTCCTGAGAAAATCCACTTTCTGAGATTTGGTTGGTTTTGAAAATGTAGACTATAGGTACAATAATATCAATTAAATAGATAAGCAGGCTGTGGAATATTCCGAGCATTGACATATATATGATTATATAATTTAAGAGCATTAGAAATAGTCTTAAAAAGGGCTTCATTTGGATTTGACCGAACTTAGTGCTGTGTAGGCTACTTTATAGTCAGTAGGAATCTCAACTGTTTTTTCTTTTTTAATGTTGTGAATTGCTTTATTATTGTTGTTTCTTTGTAATCTTGTTTATGGTCATTTTGATTAGTAACTTTGTATGATATTTCTCCAACAGAGACGAAGCTGCTGGTCAGCTCAATCTCCACAGAGCGATGAAGGAAGAAGCAGACGAACCAAGAACCACGAGGTAGCTATATTCATTTTTTTTTTATAATCAATGCAACGCTGTCTGTCTATTTTCTACTTCTTAACAAATTTACATGAAAAACTTTTAAAATTCAAATTCACACATTGCACTCGGTCGAACCCCCTGCTGCTTTATCTTAGCTGAGAGATGTGGGAAACAGGTTGCCTCACACCTTCTGCTGTGAAAGAAAATCCACAAATGCTGAAAATGAAGAACGCGCTTACTGAAAAAAGCCCCCTGCAGCTCTCCGATCCAATCTACGGCTGAAACACCAATCCTCTCGCACTGGGGCTGCATGTTTATGTTTCTATGAGCTTGTGCCTTCATCCGTGTTTGTGTCCCTCCCTTCTGTCACGTTCTCCAGCCAAAAGGACACGCTGTGAGTCGGCTGTTGGAGAGCTTCGCAGCTGACGAGGGCTTTCAGATGGACGGGGGAAGCTTCTCGGAGGAAGAGGAGGAATACAGGCATTTGTACAAAAACAAGAGCCCCGATTGTGAGAAGACATAACACGCAAAACAACTTCAGATCGTTGAGGTCATATCGTAACTTTCCAATTCTTTTCTGTTAGTTCCAAATTGTGTGCTGACCAAAGACATGTTAGCGGATGGACTGAAGGTGCTGATCTCAAAAGAGGATGAACTACTCTATGCTGCAAAGGTTCACACACTGGACATACCGGACATGTAAGTGTGAACACCAGAAATGCATAGATACCATATATAAAGCCGTTTAGTCAATTAATATGTCAATGATTTCTCTGTCAATCAAAAGTTTTATTGTCAACGAATCATTTTTAAAAACAAGGAATTCTTTGGCAAAACAGCAAAAATCAGAATCAATGGTGCAAATGATATGAAGATCTTGCATATAATTACCAGTAAATGCAAATTCCAGATACCAGTTATTCAGTAGTTTATGTCAGGTCCATAATATGTAGTTCCAAAAGCGTTTTCCACGGCACTTTTTAAGCCAACTAATCCATCAATCACACTTAGAAACCTTAGAATGAAGCACAAACGTTAATTTAATCTCATTTGTTGGTTGTAAACGATGCACATTATGACCACAAACAGATCCTGCACTTGCTCTTGATAAATTAAATCCTTTTTTTTATCTGTTAAGCCGCTCTTGTTGACCCGCTTTTTCAACACTGGCCTCCGCTTTGCATCTCGTCACATTATTAGTAAACAAACTCAAACTGTGTAGAATGACAAAACGTTCTATACTTTTGATCCCTTTATAATTTCTTCTTATATAATATTCCCACACAACAGGCCCTGAATATCACGAGTGGGAGTTACTTGTCTGACCAAAACGCAAGCGTGATACAACATTTTGAAACGGCCTTTTTTTTGTTTTAGCTTCAGCATATTGATTGATGGCGAACGAGGAAACCGACCACGGATCTATTCATTGGAGCAACTGCTACAAGAAGCTGTAAGTTTGGGCTGCAATAACACATCTACCTGTATTTGAGGTCGGGTGTCACGTTTTATCCTTCAAACATCCCCTATCCGTCCCCTGGGTTCACTTAGGCCATCTAAACCTCTTATGTGAATAGGGGCAGATGGAGGCAGGAGGTTTCGTGTCTCGCTGTGGAACCGAGGGTTAAACCAACGTATTTGTGATAATCCTGTAAACACCTGGATGCAGTTGAAGAAAGGATAAATGTGACTGCAGCTTTATAAAAAAATGTTGATGCGTCATTTTGATGTTGTTGTAATTTAATGACACTTATTTACAAAGCACTAGTGAAAACTAAGTTAGTCAAATTCCCTCTCATTGACAAAGATTCTTATAAACCCGGGTGCACAGATGGAGGGGTGAAAAACCAGTCCGCAAAAATGAATCATAGAATCATGTAAACCGGATATTACTGAGACAAGGCCAGCAGAGGCATTTAAGAGCAAAAAAACATGCTTATATTTGGAACATAGGCTTCTCACTTTGTTTTGATCAAAGTGGAAGAATTGTGGTACATTTAAAAGTGCTTCAGATTTATTTTTCTGTGCAGCAGAAAGAGTGTGAAAACCAAAAGCTTAAAGTAAACTTGTTGATGAGTGATTACATTTGCTGGCCGTGGGTTTATACCGTGCGTATGCTAGCAATTTTATTTACAATTACAATTTAGTTTCAGTAATGAAGCAACATCACGACCCCTTTGAAAGCAATCGGATATAGATTTTATTTTTACATACTTCATATTCTTACGCTTTGGAAACGTTGGATAATTTTGTAATCCAAAATAGTTTTTCTAATTACAGCAAATTCTTGATCTGCTGTTCTGATTATGGTGTCCTCAAGCAAGGCTAAACTAGCATATTGTTGTTGGCTGTTTCTGCACGCACAAACGTGAAGGTCAATCTTAAAGCATGGATCAACAGTTCTGTAATTACAGGCCACAATAAGAATCCACAGACGAGACATTATTTACATACTTGCAGGATAGCCAAAGAGGTTTACACCAACCCTCACGCTACACCTTATTTCATATTTACACATGTCTGTAGAATAAAGCCTACAGGCCAAACAGTCTCCAGAAGCCATGTTCTCTTTTGTTTCTATAATAGAATATGCTTTTATTGCACTTCATTCATCGGTCTTATCAAGTCATTATTCTTCCTTTTGTCTGTACGTTTGTCCAGTAAACATTTATTTGCCGGTGACACCTCCTTTTCTCTCTCGTCTTCACAAAAACACACACAAGTCCTCTCACGCGCGCACACACACAAACCCACCCATCCACACCTCATCCGTCAAAGAGCCCTCACCATGGCAACAGTAAATGAAAGAGCCCCCAGTGAGCGGCGGATGCTGGGGCTGCCTGCATTGTTGGAGGGAGGATCTGGCAACCTGCAATCACAAACCCGCTATTCAGAGCCTTTTTAGTATTACTCAGCAAGTCAGGATTTACTGCATCATGGCTTCCGCTCTTTTCAGGCCTGACTGGCACATTGGCATGAGATAAGTGCCGCTTGGAAACGTGGCACAGTGGCTGCCCCTGCACAATGCCTATACAGCCAGCGCACGCTTTATAGGAGCCTGTGTGCGTGCATGCATGTGGGCTTTTGTGCACCTTTGTAATGAATCCTGATGATGTTTTGGTTCGAAGGTCCTAGACGTGCGTCCCCAGTCAGAGGCGGTGCTTCCAGAGGGGACCAGAGTGTGTGCGTATTGGAGTGAGCGCTCCCGCTGCTTATACCCCGGATACGTGCGCAGAGGTATGACACCAGCGCGTGCATGGTTTTTTTCTTCTTGCACATGAATATTTACAGCAGTTATCACTTTAAGGTGGCTCTGATGAGACCAAACCAGGACTCATGGTGGAGTTTGATGATGGAGATCGGGGAAAGATTTCTCTCCAAAACATCCGGCTCCTGCCTCCTGGATATCAGATCCAATGTGAGTGCATGATTTTGTCCAATAGACAAAGCCCTCACTGTCGTCTCTTGTCACAGTAAAATACTGTGTGTTTTTATGCATGTCAGGTGGAGATTCTCCCCCAGTCCCTCTTCCAAATGTGACAACTGCCAAAAGGAGTTCTCATCTGGAGCAAGCCCCCATCAATGAGAGGCCTTCTGACAGACTGAACAATGTTGACACAGTGAACAAACAGACTGTCAACAAAAGAAGACCAGGTTAGAGAACTTCATTTTAAGATAATCTTGTGTCTGCAAAAGAGTTATAGTTTAGGACATTATTATATACTTTACCTTATTTAGAAGATGAAGATGAGTCTGCCAATATCTAGATTGAAAACTCTTGTATCATTTAATGCTTTGTACGAAGTTACCAAATAGTAGCAGATTTGCAAGCATTTGATTTATTTATTTATTTGTATCAAATCAGTGGATCAGTGAGGAGGGAAACATGGTTAAAACCTTGTTTATATTTTGTATTTATATATTGCCAATTACAAATGATTGAAATACTTTTGTTTGTCGTTTTAGGGAGGCCAAAGGGTTCTGGTAAAAAGCAAATGCAGCTCCAGCAGCAGGACTCTAAAGCCTCTTCCATGTTCCTGGGTTGGCCCACGTCCTCCAGCAGGAAACGGACGTGTGACAGTCTTTTTGGGACACAGAAGAAGAGTCGAGGGAGGAACAGTGACTTGTTCTCCTCGGCTCCAATGCAGTTTCAGTCCTCTGCTCCATCCAAAGGCCTTTTCAGCAGCAGCTCATTTGAGGTGGACTCCTTCAGCAGCATCGCCAATGGCTACTCATCTTTCTGCACCCCTCACCCGAGACCTGAGGCAAACCTGCCCGTCAGTCGCAAAGACACGTACAGTCAAAAGCGCAGATCAGACGAGCAACTCAGCATGCCTCAAAGTAGGAAATCTGGGCAAGAGTTCCTTATTAAGTTGGACCATGAAGGAGTTACATCACCAAAAACAAAGAACAGTAAGGCTCTTCTGTTACGCAACGCATCCTCAAGTGTGAGTAGCCTTCCCAGAACCGAGGCCTACTCTCACCCCGTCCTGCTGGTCAAAGACAATAAGAAAGGAGGCACCAACAAAGTCGAACTCCTCCACAAAGGGCCCTCAGACCAAAGGAAGCCATCTCCATCTCTTGGCCTGAGAGATTACGGTGACCTGGGATTCAGTTCTCACCGTGAACGCCACAGCTCCTACTCTGATTACGAGGAAGAGGACGAGCGGAGGAGGGCTGCGATTTTGGCTCAGGGTCTCAGGGCCGGTGGGCGTTTCCTGTCCCGCCTTTCTGTTTCTTCTTCTTCCTCTGGGTCTTCTAGCTCCTCCTCTTCTGGCTCCATTTCCAGCTCCAGCCTGTGTTCCTCGGACAATGACTCCTCCTACAGTTCAGAAGATGAAGACAGCTCTGCAGCGATATTACAGAGTTGCCTCTCTTCTCGCCAAAGACTTATACAAACTAACGAGCCGTCCACTTCCTCCAGGTCACACCCCTTTGCGGCTAAAGCTGCAGCGTCGACTGATGCGAACAGCAAGTCACTCAAAAGGAAGGACTGCACTAGCTCTAAAGAAATCGTTAAGAAACCCAGGATGCAAACAGATCATAGCTCATTCAATCCAAGACCCAAGATGTCCGGTTTTCTGGCCGGACGACAGATGTGGAGGTGGTCAGGAAACCCAACACAGGTGAGTCAACATGAGATTAGCTCAGAGAAAGTACATTTATGTTTATAGATAGAAAGCTTAGTGCAAGTGTTTGATTTTCCACAGAGAAAAGGTCTAAAGGGCAAAGCCAGGAAGCTTTACTATAAGGCCATTGAGAGAGGCAGAGAGACAGTAGGAGTGGGGGATTGTGCCGTGTTCCTCTCAGCCGGACGTCCCAACCTCCCCTATGTAGGTCGCATCGAGAGCTTCTGGGAGTCCTGGACTAGCAGTATGGTAGTTAAAGTGAAGTGGTTCTACCATCCGGAGGAGACCAAGCTCGGCAAGAGGCTGCAAAATGGCAAGGTGAGCGTCAACTATACATAAGCACACTCCAATGTATCTGTTTTCATTCTGTTACAATCAAGAAATTAACGTTTACAAACTATTCTCTGTAAATAACCTTTTCACCTCCCAAAGTATCTCTCTTTATATACCAGTTATAACAGGGCTTGTATGGCCCCTTAAATTGGACTAAATAAATGAGGACACAGATACTTCCACACATTTATTGTTGGCATTTGCATATCACCAGGAGAAGATAGCCTCACAGGATACAGCGATATAAAAAACAGATGCTCCAGGGGTTTGAGAGGAATGAGACAACTAATTTAGGCAAAAGCACGTCCTAAGAGATTTATGAGAAGCAAAAAGGTGTAGAATGTCTAAATGTCTGTGTGTTCTCCCTCCAGCATGGCCTGTACCAGTCTTGCCACGAGGATGAGAATGATGTCCAGACAATCTCTCATAAGTGCCAGGTGGTGAGCAGGGAGGAGTACGAGCGTCTAACCCACAACCCCAAGAACGTCAACAGCTCCGACCTCTTCTACCTGGCCGGGACATACGACCCCACCACTGGTCAGATCGTCACTGCTGAAGGAGTCCCTATACTGTGCTGAACACTACTACTGACCAACATGTATTCATTTTGATTGAAAAGTCAAAACCAAAGTGACTGAAGTTCAACACTGGAGACTGTTGTCACTGGTTAAACGTAGATTGTACTTAGCTGACTGAATCATACATGGACTCCTTTCATGGTTTATTACAAGAATATGTTGGGACCAATATTTAAGGCAAGGAATGATCCGAAGAAAGCATTCCAGGGACCCATGTAGAAATTGTAAATACTTTTCCAATCAAGCCATACACGTCAGTACCTCTTGCCTGTCTTAAGTGTTCAGGTTGACATTGTACAGTTGAGTAATTGAATTGTCCGTTGTCCATATGTACAGAAAAATGCTATTTTATATATGAGTCTATTGTAAATATACAAGATGTAACTTTCCATGTTTGATTTATTTTTCTATTGGTGTAGAATACATTGCGTTTCACGGTTTGCTTTTGGAAGTCGAGTTGGGAGGTGTTGCACTGCGGTCGCCCTGCTGAGACAGACAGCACAGACAAAGATAGAAGGATTTAGTGTAGAACAGGTCCTAACTCGCTTTCAAGGAGAGATGAGTTTCCCTGTTTAAAAAAAATACAAAACATAAAGTGGCTTTTTATAGATATTCTGTTACTTATTTTAAAAAGGCTTTTTTTATTTTATTTATGTCATTTTCTTTTGTTATGTAAATGTCATTGTTGTCAAAGCAGATCCCAAAAGACTGCAATCACGGGTCAAAAATGATTTAATATTGAATTAACAAGCATCATTTTGTGTGAGACAAGCCTCTTGGTATCACTATAGTCATGTCCAAACAACTTGATCCTTATGGAAATTGAATTGTATTAAATGCATTTTTCAGCACATTGTGATCTAAAAATACCAAAGTGTCTTTTCCGTTTAAATGTTTGTTGTTTTAAGTTATTTAAATGAACAAGTCCATTACCAGTTTTAAATCCAATCTTTCAGTAATTCATCGATTGCATTTTGTCTTTTTCTCATTCATAGATCAGGCAAAATACACAGAAACTATCTCTAATCCATCTTTTTTATAACAATGTGAAGCAGGGTAAACGGGGAACACATCTGAGAAATATGTCTTACAAATTCAAATATTATCTATAGTAACAGGTTATTTGGCAAATTATTATTTTGTAAGTTTAAAGCTCGGGTACCTAACCTTGCCCCATACAGTAAATAATAACAACAAAAAGAGCCTTGTAAAAATAAGTAGTAAGTTTGTGGGATAAAAAAAACATACCACAACATACTGTTTTATCTTCTTCGACTGTTTGGGCAGAAAGTGGATCGGCTCTCTTATTGACTCTCTTATTGGCTCTTCTGTCCATAAAATCTGATCTAAAGATGTGACTGATGCCAAAAAATACATTAAATTTAAACCGTTTTGGGAGTGAGAGTGAAAGACAGAACTAGCAGGATGGATTTTATGGGTTAACTGGATTACATGGTTGAAAGTTAGGTACCCAAGCCTTGTTAGCGCCATTGCCATATAAAATTATAATTCAAAACCCCCTTTTATATTTGATGCATAAAGAAGAAGAAAGTGTGTTGCCTGATCAATGTATTTCCCCTCCGTCGTTTCTTTCACATGTGCCTCATTTGTGTTGCATACAAAGAGCCGGAGTGTTGACTATTGAAGGCCATGGTACTGACAGGTCGCGCACGTTGTACTGTGAAGGACAATCACATTCACTATAGCTTCACTCAATCTGAATATGACCTTAATGTATTTCTTCTGTGCCAAGTGCTTTCATTGTTTTATTGTTTGGTATGCAACCTGGAGTATTCTTTGTTCATAAATGTTGATTTTGTTGGCCAACTGTTATTATTTATTGTCATTGTTGCTGTTTGTTCATGCCAAGAGCGCTTTATCAAGAATGTGATTTTGGTTTCCTTGGTGTGACATTTGCATTTTATTACATATAAATGGTCTTCTAGGGACCAGTTAGTGAAAAGAAATAAAACCACACTGGATAATTCTCATCCACAATCTCTGGGTGAAGTTTATTCTGACCTTCTTTATATATTAATATTTTAAATGAGGGGTCACCTGAAGTCTGTTCCTGAACTTGGGTTTTCATGTTTCATGTGCTTGTATTTACAGTAGCAATAATGACTTACACAATGATGTTTCTTTCACATTACCTTCAGATATATTTTACATTGGTATAAATTCAATGTTTTTTCTGACCAGTTACATAACTCAAACATCATAAATCCAATATTAAAATACAAGACTAATAGACAAGATTACACCCACATCTAGTTTGTATGACAGACAATATTATTTGTTCCATGTTATTCCTCGTGTCCATAATTGTTGATCGAAATAACAAAATTGTCACCAACACGACCAATGGGCAACATTGCAACGATACAAAACATTCGCTTCACGATCACTGTTTCTGTTTTGTTAGAATATTTAAAAATATATAGATAGTATGTATATATGATTCTAATATGCACCAATTACATGAAAATGACAATTTTAACTGATCACGCCCTCTAGTGGTAAATACATGAAAAGCACATTGTGAAGGAGATGAGAATGACCATTGTTTATGCCTCACTTCTTACATAGAGTCTATGCTTCTTATCAGTGGCCTGTGGTCTGTTTGCCTGTTCCTGCTCGTCGGAAATATCATTAACCTAATTATTAAAACAACAGTGTGTGTGGGTGTGTATGTTTGTGTGCATGTATGTGTGTTATGTGCCTGAAGGACGCCCTGATGTGGGTCAGTGACCTTGTACTCTGGCCCTGGGGTCTCCATCCCGGCCCCTGCCCCACCCTCACACTAATGCCCAGACTGCTGTTAATGGACAGATCCGTCATCTCCAGTAGAGCTCCAGCGAACACAAACAGCAGCTCAGTGTTGACTGTGGCCAGAGCCCCGTGTCCGGGCTGGGCCACCTGCATGAGCCCCCCTGGGGTGAGGGGGTGAGAGGGGGAGAAGGGCCACGTGCACAGGTGACGCCGCTGTTTATGTTTGACAAAGATCTGCTTCATTACCTCAGCAGCACCAGAGCAAGGGTCACAAAGGAGCTAATGAAACACAATCGTAATGGAACATGTCTTTCTCTTGTATTGTTTCATTAAATATTCCATTATTAATGTCAGATGCCCTTCCTGCACCACAACGACTGGGGTGGATTGACACTGAAGACCCAGGATTCCTAAGGGACAGGGAAATTTTGATACATACTTAATAAAACATGAAGGTACATTTATGAATCATAGATTGTTTTACAAAAGTAAAGCAACTAAAGTCTTTAATGTAATACACACTTAGAGAATAATGTTTAACTCTTGACTTTTTCAAAGTAACTCACCACACACTGTGTGGGTCTCTGCTGGATTGTGTTACATGTTACTGGACACACTCGCTCTGCGTTTGCTCGCTCAGCATCCTGCCCGTGTTGCTCTGTGTCAACACTAGGAATGTTTTTCAGCACAAATATCTACACATCATAAATGTCTGGCCCTGCGCTTGACCCTGTCTGCCCTTTGACTGTGAGTGGGTCGAGCGGGGGACAGTGAGCCGCTGTGAGTCCAAGGTGAGTCTTGGTTCTTAACAAAGCACCAAACACATCATTCTAACTCCTGTAGTGCCAAACAGAACTTAGATGTGTTTAGTTTTCTTGGATGTAAACACAAGGCCACAACAGTCTGTTCTGTACTGCAGGTCTTCTATCTTAAGGAAATATCTTATTTCTTTAAACATGTTCTGAGAAGTCAACACACATCTGTGTCGCTCCCTCGTCCTCTCCCGCCTCACAGCTGTAATACACCACACATTATTAATGGCTTGTAAAGATTCTCTGTCAGTTGTGCAAGAAGCGCTTCCCACAGCATTACACAGGATTACTCTACATCTCTACATACTGAATGTCATCCACAAACTGATGTTTGGCGCGTGTTACAAAGCTATGACTCATGCTTGTTTTATTTCTAGCATTGGTATTTTGAAAACATTGTTCATCACACTGAAGATGCAGTTTCCCATCTCTAGTGTGATATTCCATAATTGTTCATTGTAGAGTGAATAGACTGAATCCACTACAGATTAGATATGTTAGATTTTTAAGCCCTGCATTTGAGCGTAGGCCTGTTCTTCAAATCAATGTCTTCCCTTGCTTTTCTTGCTGCGTGTTGTTGTCTGCACATTCCTGTGTGGACAGAACCTCACTTGGTTCTCCAGGGTGTTTACCCCGGCCTCAGTAGCAAGGAAGCAGCTTTCACCGTCCCATCTCTGTTTACATAGCTCTTCTCTAGTGTTTACTCTGCGCTCCAGCTCTGTGGTGCAGCGCACACCAAACAGCTGTTCTTTTACGAGAGAACAGTTCTGTGAACGCAGGGAACTCAGAGCCCAGAGACAGGACTGCATCATGACAAAGGCCACCTCAGCCTCCATCAGGGAGACTCCTGTTATTCTACTGTGCCACTGTCCATGTGGAGCTCGGCCAATCGTAGCTCCAACTCTAACACAAGTACATGTTTCTCAGAACTCGAGTGCCAACACATTATCATACATCTCTACATTGTGTTTATCCTGCTCTTCTTCCTGTCGTTGTGCACAGCTGCTGCTGAGTCAGGCGGCAGGAAACATGGAGAAAGGCCACTAGACCTCGCAAAGCTCCCTGTGGAACTCAGGCCTGTGGCGAGAGACAGGACACTCCATTTATCACTATACAATAGCCCCGGCTGTGGTTGTGGAAATGCACCGTACTTCCCCAAAGAGGCTAAATGTGACCTGGCATTTACTTGTCTACATCTCTCCTGACACATAGGCATATTCACCACTTCTTTAAGAAACTTGCATTCCCCATCATCCTTCAACAAATAAGCTACCACACATCATCAGTGACTTCAACTTCAGAGTAAAAGCACACTATTCCATCAAATGCTTCCTGGGTATAAAAGAGACATGGGTGTGGTTGTTCTCCAGTGAGGGTGTTCAATAGTGAGGGTCTTGCTATAACAGAGTGCTCCTGTATAAGTGGATGGCTCTCCTTCTCATTTCTGCCTTGCTTAAAAATATACACTCCAATACCACAGTCATAAGCTCCGTAACTGGCACTTATCAACATGAGTTGAAGCCTCTAGGCATCTTAGCCCAGCTTTGATCAGACGTTTTGGAGACATCTCTCATTTTCTTCAAACAAATCCATTGGGATTGGTTGCGCTAATTTTGAAATAAACTCACTGCACATAGTGTACCTTGTGATAAAGAGTGGTGAAAAATGTCTATATATGGCACTTTTACAGGGATAAGAGAGAGGAGGACTGAGAAGTGACAGCATGAAGTCAATGAGGTGAATTCAAGGATAAAAAATAGTGAGAAAATAAGTGCATACATACAAAAGGCACACCGTGAGATCATCTGACAACAGACGGTGACCTCAAAGAGAAGTCAGTATTCCTCCCCTGAGATACTGTGACACTGGTTATGGACATACACCCAATTTTACCTAGTATTTTGTGTGGAGTTTGGGACTGCTGGTGTCGGCAGGAGACAAACAGGAAGCTGTGAATGACAGCAGCAGATATAGACAGTCAGGCCAGGGTCCTGCTGTTGAGCTGTGGGGGAACAAGAGAAACCAGGAAAAATGTAGACAAGAAAGAAAATGAAACCTAAACGAACCAATTCAGCTGTCTGCACCACAGCGAGATATCACCTGAGACCACAGTGCCCTGCATGTGTCTCCATGGAGACAGCCACAGCTGCATGCCTCTGAAAAACTGACACAAGTCCACCGCCTTCACCTGCTATTGATTTACCCTGCCCCACAATGCCAAGCCCACTCAGGCCTCCCTCATCATGTGTGCATCCAGGAGTAACAATTGGACATCAAACACTTCATCAGAGGATTGTGGTTATTCATAGAAATGTCCATGTTGCTTTGTGCTTGAATGCAAAAATAGGATTTGAGACTTATGATACCTCTATTGTACATAACATACCTTATATTTCAACTATTTGCACATTTCCTGACTATTTGGACACCCTGAGTGTTACATGCACATTTATGGATTGTGAGATCAATAAAGTTGTATCTTATCTTATCTTCCACTGAGTGGCCTAAGCTTGATGTAATCTCACAGCCTGGCCCCATGACAGGACGACTGACCTTCTACAGAGGGTTGCTTCCATTAATTGCTTGTTCCTGGTTCCAGCGCCTATGACAAGGCTGCGCTAATGGCTCACATGTTTCAAACTATAGAACCACAGGCTTCAGCTCAGAGTGATGCCTCTTTAGCTACAGTTTAATGTCACAGGCTCATGTCTGTTGTGTGGAACATTTGGAAAGTTTTAATGGGTGATGTGAGCAGCTGGTGGCGTCACTAGTGATTTACAAGAGAATGACTAAAGGCAGCACTTAACGCTTTGAAGCGCTCTGTGATGTAATACAAGCAGGTTATAGGCTGAAGAAAATCTAGCTTATCTGTGTTTGCAATTTTGATCCTCTCCAGATCCTCAGAATGTGACATTTTACGAGTGACATTTCAGTAAAATGTTGTCAGGACGTCTCCTTATCAGACTTGTGATTGTTTTGTGATCTTCATCTTACAGCTGAAACAAATGCACCTCCCTTTTATTGATACTTCTTTGTGGATCATCCAAACTGTGGGAGAGAGTTGGTAGCACATAATGGCGGGATGGTTTCAGTCAGTCTGCCCAGGGCAGCTGTGGCTACAGATTACAAACACAGAGTACAGTATGGAGTTATGGAGTAATGCATAGAATTGACTTTATAACTATATGTGACATTGATGCAAATAAATATTAATATCTGATTGATTATTATTAAAGAATAGTGAAATATCATTTTTATCATTTTTCAATGATGTTTGGTAGACTACATTCCGACTCCGTCAGCACTTTTTATAGACAGAGATCCTTTATTTCACGTTCAGAAGAAAAGAAGACGACTCAAACCACAAAGAACTTCTTTAGATACAATAAGTCGATCATAGAGCCGTAGATTGTGTGTCTGTGGTTGTCAAAAGTACAGTTGTCGAGGACGCACAGTAACAAAAGAGCACAGTTTTATTGTTTGAAAGTCCTTTGTTTTGATGTGCATTATGAATATAACCAACTCAACTCTGTGATATAACCCGTCGTACTGTAGCTAGCCTCAGACAGGCAAATATAACACCAACATGTTACAGAAATGTGTACATTTGGTTATTTCTGTGATATTCTTCATCATCTGGATTGGGTTTGAATTACTGCGTCCTCTCAATCAAATACATTTCATTTTCCATTTTCATTTAGCAGTTTATTCATTCAAATGAATAAAGAATTGGTTATATACTATACAACATTATTCTATATTGCACAATACAAGTAGGGCCTCATTTATAAATCCAGGTGCTAAAGTGTGGGTACAACGTACATTTCCATGAGCAATTTTTTGGTTTAGTTCTATGGGACATGAAATATCAGGGTGATCACTTTTTTTCAATGTTTGCTTTTGCTCTTACCCCACACATCGGAACTGACCTAAATAATCACCACCACAACATGTCCCTCTACAATACAAGGTCGTAGTAGCTCTAAAAGCTACTGTCCAAAGATCATAACAGCTATAGCAGATTTAAGAACTGAATTACGACTAACTTCCATCAAGAATAAGCAGGAAACGCAGTATCAGGAGTTGGTTTTGATGGCAGACGTACAAACAGTAGCAGCCATGCTCTTTTGGACCTGGGTACAAGTCATCATGCAGACAATGGCTCATTAACCCATCTCCAAATATTAGCCAAACCATCCCACTAGCCTTTGGAGCCAGCCAGAATGTAATCAAAAGCAGAGGGCATAATCAACAAAAAAGGCCTGTATTCCGGTAAGGATGTGTCCCAGTAGCACATGAATTACACTGGAGCGGTAGTGCTGGGACTGTGAATGATGTTGGGCGACGGGCTGCAGCCAAGTCGCTCTCTTAATGCCAAATGAGAGGATGCCAGGCACTTCCTGCTGTAAACAATCTACCCACAGACGGAGA